GCAAACTTGCCAGGCAGATCCATCCCCAGCGGAGGCTTCACAGAATGGATAAGAGTTGAATAACACGAGCTGATGCAACCTTGAAAAAAGTGATCGACAGTATGTGAGGCAGCTGATGGCTATAACGCAATGACCCTTCCAATTCTCACTACCTAGCTCAACAATTGCATGAAACCGCCAAGTTACGTAACAACAACCGATACAAGGTGGCGTTCCGTCGCCTTTGCAGCCTCTTCTTTTGTCGCGCTGTCTGGGTGCTTGGTCTGCCAGTGGCCGCCTGCATCTGGATGCCAGAGGTCCAAGAGCAGCACAACCTAGGCAATCCGAAGGGTACAGAAGAGGTACTAATGCAAATCCACCTTCGAAGGCGGCACCTTCACCCGCTTGACGGGTCCCCAACTATACAGTATATCCGTTCAGAGAAAAAGATGTGGATCGAGAGTGTAAAGAAAAACATATCGGTGAACATAGTCTTATCCCAACATGGACCCAGAAGAGGGGCACTATATAAAATATCCATACAATAAACACAACGAGAAGTCTTTATCTTTCAAAGCACCTTGAGCCACATGGTTGGACCCAGAACAAAGAACTCATCAGAACTCACAACTAAAAGTATGGAACCTAGAGAACTGTGCTTCCTGGGTGGTCACAGTGATTGTTCCGGTGATTCCCATTTCCGGGGTTCCTAGATCCCAAACGAACAGCCGGAAGAGCTCAGACCCAAAGCCCAAACACCAGAAGTGAGCAGCGTTGACATAGACACGTCAACCGCAAAAAAGAAAACATGTAACAGCCGAGTAGTAAACCATCATAAACTTATTAACTTGAATGGCTGTCAAGTAGTACGATCGCCTAAGTACGATCGCCTAATGGAAAGCCAGTCAACTGCAATCGGTCCATCTAAACCCAGTCAGCTTCTCCAATGCATGTCCAGTCGCTCGGGCATCCGACAAAGCGTCCTGTGTGGCCCGGGCCGACGTGGGGCGACCACGTGACTTTCACGGACGCGCTTTTTGGAGGACGATCTCTGCAGACTCCTGGACTCCAAACAACATATCTCATGTAGACGGTCAATTTAAAAAGAACGTACCAGAATGGCTTCACATCTCCATCAAATTAGTGAGTTAGGGTGTAGAAATACTCTTTGATCCATGCTGCATGAGCGCCTTGAAAGGACTGGTCCGTCGATGGACGAACGTGGGAGGTCCAATTGAGGTGTCCCTCCAACCAAAATAGTATGGATTGTTGTTCCAGTAGGTCGTGAAGATCCTCCATCATTGGAACTGTGAAAAAGACAAACATTATATAAACATGTGGAAGGCAAGAAAAGCATGTTCCTTTGAATGAATAGTGAGAAGCTACAGAGCAATCCAAGCCGACACAGGTGATCTTCTATGGATCTGAATTGTCAAAAATTGATCAACATTGAAGGCCACACTGAGTTTGTGACCTCCAGTTTGAACCTACTGTACCTCAATAAAGGGGGTAGTCGGTCTGAGCCACTTCATGCCAAGCCCCGGGTGTTCAGTCTGTAGAGAATGAGTAGACTTTGCTTGGCCGCGCCAAGCAACGCCGCTTGGTGGTCAATCAACCAGCAATCAAACACCTTCCTGGACATGTCAAGTCAGGGTAGTTCGCTCTGGTTTGCCAAGCGTTTCTGATTTAAAAAAAAGTTGGATGCCAGTAGTCAAACCAAACCTAGGCCTTTCCACCATGGCTTGGAGGTCGGCTTTCCTCTGCCAAATATGACTTGATGTAGCCAGTCAGTTTGCTACACTCCACCAACTCCACTCCACGAAACCCAATATCCAAACATCGAACGTGGTCCATGTGGTCCAATGTCTCCACAGAACCGGTCCACCCGTGATCTGATCTTCAATGGATCATCCGGTCACACCCAAAAAAACCACCAACTCGTTTCGGAACTCCGTCTCCTCCGTCTCTGGTGTTCTCATTTGGGACACCGGAGAGTCCCCCCACGCCTCACGGCTCAAGGGTGGCAGCCTCGCTCCATGGCTTACGCGCTGGCGATGGGGAGTGAAAGAACCGCAGGGGTGTGGGCGTTCTATCCATAGTCTTTCCTGGGGGGGGAAGAACACAATCGAATCTTTTTGCAAGTGGATTCAATCATTCAAAGAATGCAAACAATGTCTAGTCGGAGATGGGAACCTCTTCCAGCTGTCCATGCATTGTCTTGTTAGCAGCCGATTATTCCATATGGGTCTGGCGCTTAAACCAATGATGCTGTCTCAATTGCTCACAGGGAAATCATTCCCTTGGGCATTGGCTGGATTGAGGAAATCAATTTGTGTTTCGAACCGAAGGGTCTCCAGTCGATGCCTCTGTCGCCTCCCATGGACCCTTAATTTAGATCTTGGAAAATTACTACTATAGTGAGTGCAAGTAGCCATATTGTGTTTTTCTCGGACAAACAATTTTGTCCCATGGTAACCCAGTGTCCAAAGTAGAAACTGGAGGGCAGTATTTGGGTGCCTCTGCAGCTGCCCCATCCCCATCGTGGGGCCTTCTCGCCATCCCCATCGTCCAATCGCCGAGTTGCTGGACCTCGTGCTCGAAGCTGTCATCAAAGATGAGGCATCTGAAACAACGATTGACAATTCGAGCCACACGGGTCTGATTGTAAAATGGAGTACCTTATTGAAGATCCAGGTCCAATTTGGCCAAGACGGAGCAATTTGCATGAGTGTGTAAAAGCAACATCTTCCAACTTCCTTGGTTACTTTGCTAGCTACAAGTACGTGGCTGGACGCAGACAAACCCATTGAATGTCACCCAAAGAAGGCATCGATCAACGAGGAGTCTATCAGGTGAATCTGGTCTTGCTCTTTATATTAGGTGTTGGAAGTAAAATGCCTGCCAGCAGTTTCTCAGCCTGTGATCCTGAAGATGATAAACTCCTGGACAACCAGCGCAGCGCTCTCTGTGTGTGTGTTGTTCTATGATATTGCACAGGTTTGCTTTATGTCATGTTCTACCATGAGCTGTCATGAGGGTGGAACACACTTTGCCTGTCTCTACGTTATGACCCCGCTCATCAGCCACCCACGATCGTTCTTGGCATCATGCCCCCGGAACGCGCGATGTGGACATCGCGCCTGTGTAGGTCCCATGCGCGTGCCTCGGGCAGCATGACAGGACATGTGGGTCCCTGGTTAAGATACAAGGATATCCACTTATATATATTTGTATCTTCAATTAACCTTGTATACAGAGGATACCCTTTATGTATCTTAATTTATATCCCTGAATCTGTCCATTGTACCTTAGAGACATGATGGTCCCTGGTCAAGTGGGCTTTGCGGACTTCATGCCACCGCACGGTTTGCCCGTGCGGATGTGCATCGCAAGGCTAAGGCTCCGTCTAAATTCTTCATAAGAATATTATGGGATGGTCCACTGTGGCTCAGACTTGAACCACTGCAGTCTGAAATAGATGGGAATCACACACAACATCTCCAAAAAATGAGGTGCTCAAGCAGCGAAAACATCCTGAAACCTTGGAGCCTGCTTTGAAAAGGGACCAGCCAACCCAAGAAACAAAATATTTGGGTCAAAATGTTGGAACTTGGAATTCATTCTTCCATGATAATGTCGTTTCCAAGTGAGTTGCTTCTAAAGCATTCTAAAGATTCTAAAGCGCATACCCTCTGACTCACTAACATGGAAGTGGAAAATGGCCTCTTGGAAGACTACTTTCCTTTACAAACAGGGTGTTTTCCACTTCCATGTTAGTGAGTCGGAGTGTACCTCTTCTAGAGCGAAGTGCCCTACCCTCTGCAGGCTACAGTATGATGAGATGACTTCCTTAAAAATATCGAAAAACACATGTTTCTGACGAGTTGCATGCCTCACATCCCCCTTGATTGAAAACATCTGTTCCTCATCTTCGGGGCCGTAACCCATCCAGGCCTCGCCCGCGACCGTCAGGCCAGTCATCTGTGGCGAAGGCAGCAAGAGGGGCAAGTGCAGTCTGAGAACGGTGGACAGCGATGGCAAGACGGCGATGGCTTTCCAGGAAGCTAAAGGCACTGGACCACTTGAATCCTGGAAACAAGAGACTCGAAACACAAGGCACATCACCATCATCACACCGCAGACTGTTGCAGCGGTCTTCTTTGCAGACTGTTGGGGGGCCATCGGAAGGATTCGGCCAAGTCTTCCAATCGCAGAAATTGCTCATCGGATCTCAATTGGTGGGAAGCTTCACTTGTAGTTTGTATATAAATGCATATTCAGTCGATTCAACTGACAGAGAAAGACTCCCAGGACCAGGAGCTCGCTCGTCGAAAGCTTTTTAGAGAATCCATTCGACCCGAGTCGCGAATCGAATATCTGATGAGCCCGAAAAGGCCCGAAACTTGGCCCATCCTTCCCCCAGGAGCTCGTGTTTTTGACAGGTTCGACTCGGAAAGTCTCAACAAAAACACAAGTCATGGCCCACGAGTCTTTAGCATATTATGAGTCAGTTTATTTTCGTCCCAGGGTCGTCTTTTGGTAGTGAGTCACCCTGAAATTCATGCGTCCCCATATCACAGTTTGGTGGATTTGAAATGCCGAAAGGCGAATGAAATCAAATGAAATTGCCATGCTCATACCTTTTCTCTGCGACTTGACTGAAAACAAACTCCAAATGATTCCAGCCACGAAATCCGTGTCTTCATTTTCGCACACCAAGAAAAGGAAAAACCTCGCATAACCTCGCTATGCCCTCCGCCACACCTCAAACGATGATTCGTCGGCCCGCAATGCGGCTTCACGTGCGCTCCACACCTTGAGCGAGTCCGGCAAAGCGCTCTATCAACTTGACTTTTGGTACAAGAGAATGTGTGGCTTCTTCATGTTAGGAACGTAGTAAGAATGCTACGTTCGTAGCGATGCCAGGAGCCCCATTCATAGCGTCCTCGCGCCGTTCGTAGCGATGCCCTTTGCTCCTAGTAAAGAGAATGCCAGACTCACAAATACACCGCAAGAATTCGGTGGACAATCCCAGGCATCCCAATGTGAGAAACACTGCTGAAAACTCGCGCGACCTCGCAATCTCACCTCAAGCAATCTCAAGCGCATTCTTTTGCAGCTGATTGGACGTGTCGTCAGTGTGATCTTTGCACACACATGTCACCCAATCCGTGGATGGAGAGAACCACGGCCACAAAAGCGGGTTTGCACGGCGACTTTTTCAGCACCGGCCATCGCAACATCGCAACATTCCAGGGGTGTAGTCCTTTTGTCGAAACATTGCAATCACCATGGGCAATCCACAAAGGAACATACATCTGAATCTGTGAATGCACCCTTGCCATCATAACCAGATCATCACCTTGCCAGCGCAAGCAACGCCGCTGCGGCCTCGCCGGCCGTGCCCTGAGGCAAGGTGGCGGTGGCAGCAGCCGGTCATTGAAACTGACTGTCCTAGAATTGCATGGTTTATGGGGCTTGTGGGAAAATCCACAGGAATGCCGTAGTTTGGGAAGGAAAAACCATGGTTTACTGTCGCTTTTCTCTCAACCAATCCAGTGGTACGTACTTATACTGATATCTACTTGTTTGAGATTGAAAACATGTCCCCAAGCAAGTAGGACTAGATCCAAAAACAGTGGGAGCATGGTCAGGTGTTTCGACCTGTTTCCCACGGCGTTTGCCTCAAAATACCCCTGGTAAACATGTGAGAGTACCCCCTACAGCCCTTTCGTTGGGAGACTCGGGCCGTCAGGATGAGCCTCTTCGACAAACCTGTGCTCAGTATGTATAGTACTATCAGTATGGTGTTTGGGTTCTACATATATCGATGTATATATTCAATAATATTAGACTGTTGATTCATACACACACACACACCATTTAGATTGGACGAGCTCTTCATGTGGGTTCTTTATTAATCAACTGTCAGGAAGGGCTCCAGGCCATCACACTCCACACATCCTTGCAACACATCGCGGAAGAGGCCTCAGCTGCCACACAGGCGGCGTGGGGAGGGCTGTTGGGCAAATGCTCCTCTGGGACGCTGCCGCGGAAGGTGTGCAGGTGCAGCCAGGGAACGCTGACGTAAGGGTACCTGGTTCAGCCGATGCAGCCGATGCCGCCGATGCCGACCAAAGGAGGTGATGTGGGAGGTGATGTGGTCACCCACACATCGGAAGGAATCACTTCAAAAGGTAGCGTCCGAACGCTCCTAGTAGTATGGCCAGGAGCCCCGAACGTAGCGTCCTTGCTAACTCTTGGACCAAAGGTAACTTTAAAATGGTATGTCCATGCATGCCCTCAATGTGGTCTTGCTCTTCTGGATCATGTTGTGGATCCGGGACGACTGGGCCAAGTCCAGTTGAGCCATACACTACTTCCAGGGCTTCGTTCTCAATCTCAAGATCACAAAAACCTCTGCAATCTGGCGCAGTCGACCGGGGAACCTTCTGTCTGTCGAGCGGGAAAGAAGTTCAAGTATAAGAATTGTTGATTCTATGTCAGCACTGAAGAGAGACGTGTTGCATGTCATCCTCAGGTTCTGTGCGAGTCTGGTTCCATGAGCAGAAGAAACCGCTGAGATGAAACCGATGATTCTCTTGGTTTCTCAGTCTGAACTCCATGTGCGCTAGCCCTTGGCGTCCCAGTTCAATGCAGGGTGGTCCAAAGGTTTGCACACAGTGCCAAGATGCAAATGCACGCATTGCCAAACTGGTGCTCCACCAATGAATTTCTGGAAGACCTCAGGCTGCTTTTGGGTGAACTGCGGGTGTAAATATCATCTACAGTCTACAGTGGCTTTCCGAGTAGATGGCACAAACCCCTACATGTCTTCCAGATGGGGGTCCATATAAACCACCTTATGGGAATTGTGCGGGGCCCTCTACTCTCTGTCCACTATATATTATGACCTGCAACCGGTTCACAGGAAAGCGCGCAGAGAAACGTAATCACAGAGGCGACTTCCCTGTTGTAAGTAGCACTGGTTCCTTTGACCGGCACGAAATGTCGTTCTGCTAAGAATACTATATACGTATACGTATAGTCATGAGTACGTTTATAACTGGTAGAGAAACATGCTGCAAACTGAATTGTCTCATTCGATTCGTGTTGCTCGTACGGAACTATTGCAAACCATCAGGGGTGTGGGAGTCAATTGGAACAATACGATTATTCCACCCATCCTTCTTTACATGATGCTCAAAGCCGCGAATTGGCAGCTCAGGATCTTTCCAAAGAGAAGCTGAAACTTGGAGGTGTATATTTTGTTGAACTTGTTTGATGCACGTTTGGATCACATGTTGGATGTTCCAAAGAGTGATCCCACGTGTTCCCACTCCCTATCACACTGAAAAAGAAGAACCACAAAAACTCACGCGTTTTCTGGCTGTTGGAGTGAGAAGGTTGGAGGGAGTCCTTTCAACATGACTTGTGGGACTTTCACCCAAGTTGCAACACCGACACGTGAAGCTGAACATGTCAAACCTCCTGTTTGTGCAGAAAGAATCGTCTTCCCTCTTTCAGAGCCTCACCCATGTTCCAATGTGAGTACAGTATAGCAACCTTGGAGTACTATCCTATAAGTAGAAGTCATCGTCATCTGTTTCACCACTAAACACCACGGTCAAACCATGTCAAAGAACCAACCACCACGCCGCTGTCCCAAGGCTCCGCTCGGCCGTCACACCGGGCGGCGCGGCGTCCCGCCGACACCAAGGCGGTCATCTGCTCCAGCGCATCGAAGGGACCTCGGTCGAGGGAGGTTGGGAATTGATTCCAAACCATGACTCGTGAGTCACCGGGAGTCTTATAGGGCATAACAAGTGGATTGCATTTTTGCCTCATGCCATTGACTCGTTATCCCCTATACCCCAATCGGATGGATTACGGAAGTGATTCGTGAATGAAAAAACCTTGGGTTTGCACCTGGCTCTGGAGGTGGCCTCTAGTTCTTGTGCTTTATTGAAGGTCCAAATTCCGGGTGACCTGCTGCAGAGTCAGATTCTGGTGAGCTTGATTTGAAAGGCAAATTGTATCAAGGTGGTTGACCACTCCGGGTCTATTGTTGACGAGTCGTTGCCCACGTCATGTGATCTTCGACCCATGTGCCCACAGGTCGAGCAGCATGCATCTGCAAGTCGTTTGATATCTCGGAAGGACTCCACTGGGATGCTCAACACATCCGTCTTGTGCCTCCACCGGAGCGAACGCAGCAATTCGTGCCAACACATCCGTCGAACACGATCCCAGTCACTAGACGTAACGCAGCAATTCTCGCAGCTCAAACGGAGAACCAGAGAACCTCAAGATCCAGGCTGCAGGAACTAGACCTGGCTTTTTAATTGATGTTGATGAGCTGGCCTACAGTAGGGAACAAATCAAGGGCCATCTAGGGATGATTGATGTTCATTCAACCGCGAGAACAAAGATTGCTGCATGGGGTGCAATTAAGAAGAAACTCCTCTCATCTTACAATGTGGATGGACATCCTTCAACCAATCCCCTTCTGTCTCGCTTTATCTCCCAGTCTTGTCTCCCAGTTCTCATCCTTCACCCTCCCTCTCCCCCGAACACCCGATGCGCGCACCGGATGTTGTAGAAGGACGCCGTTGAGGCCGTCCTCTCCAGCGTCTGTTCACCACAGTGCGACTCTTAGTAGAAACAATGTTCGCTATTAGGAACAAGTGCCTTACTAGTACTAACAAGTGCCTTACTAGTAGTAACAAGAAGCTAGTAGAAACAAATAAATTGAATGGCCGTCCTCTCCAGTGTCTGTTCACCACAGTGCGACTCTTGACAGCTCGGCAGCGACGCTCCGCAGTGGAAATGCTCCAAGCACCTGCAGCTCGGTACACATGAGTCGACATCCATAACGGTCGGCCGGGAACGTCTAGCTGTCACTGAGCAACAAGCAGGCGATGTTTTATGGTCGTTGCGGTCGAAGAAACTCTTAGCGCAAGGAACCTTTTGGCTGGTTGGGCCAACCCAACCAACTCCTGTTGCAGTGACCCAACCCTAAAGCATCGTTGTAGAAACACCGGCTGCAATTGTGCTACCACACAAGGTCCGGAGATTTGGCTGCTCATCATACCAATATTTCTGTGATGATCATTTGTCCTTTTTCTTGATCGGTGTGCTTTCCTTCCTGTGCCAATAGGAACCCGATCAGAACCTGACATTCCAAGCTCCCCTTCTCTGTGGGAAATGCATCTTAAGCCAGTTTTTTTTCCGCTGATCTGCTGATTTCAACCTGGAGTTTTCCCTCCCATATACGCATAATTAGGGCACTAGCCATGTTCCCTTTCAAATCCGCGATGGCAAAATCGAACACATGGCACAGTCCTGACCACTGTCCGAGCATGACGCAAGAACATGCGTGAGCCGTATAGCCTTCCGCCATAAAGGCAGAAACATGCTGCAGCCCCCGTGAGCTTGGAGACATCAGCGCCTGGAGAAACATGGACTACAAGGATATATAGGATGTCTAACATGTACATGTTTGTGTGGGGGGGGGGCCATGCGAAAGCTACATCATGCAAGGGGCTGCCCAAACAATAACAAGGATCTTGAAACTTAAAAGATCTTCTGCACCTGCTACCGGTTACCTGCACAGAAGATAAGGTGGCACACGGATGCGAATAGGGCATTCTGTGAAGTCTCATGTAAAATCTGTACAACTGCATACAACTGCTTGGCAGCTAGTGGACTGGATTGGGCACTTGCGGCAGCAAGTTCTAGGGACAATATGATGTGTCATTGAGCGTGCTTGACTGATATAGAAAAGAATTCAAGCCATGAGCCTAGAAACGGTCATTCGCGTTTGAAGTGGCCATTCCTACCAGTCCAAGTACATGTGGGACCTCGTCCTCGAAGTTCCAGGGTCTGAAAGCATCATCATTTGCATGTAAAAGATGTGTTCACAAATTAATCATTTCTATACTTATTGTTTTAGTGGGTTTGTTTCCAGGATGCCAAACAAAGCCAGTCTTCTTGTGTTTTTTTTTTCCGTTGCCAGTTCCCGTTCATGCAGCTCTGTGTCAGTGTGTACATATGCGTGTGTGCATGTACAGTGAGGGGGGCCATGTTCAAGAAACCGAACTTGGCAAGAAATTGGGTTGCCCAAATGAGATCCCTTTGTTGACTTCCAGACGATGCATCACAGCCACATCAGCGGAACAGACATGTCCTGGGCAAGCGATATGAAGCACCCGAAAATAGACCATGACATGGTCAGCATGAACCTATCGGACTTCGGTTTGGATGGGTGTCTACGGATGGCCACAATTGAACACATGATTGGAACGACTTCGCACGCATGGATGGATTTCCGGCATTTGAGACTTGTAAGCGAGCTAGTAAAAGCAACATCTGACCCCCTAAGGGGGAGAGGGGGAACTTGAGGGAGCATCGGAATCATCAGCGGCTTCTTGACAGGGCGAACGGGCCACGCGCTATCACACAGTTGGTTTGGGCAGCTCGTGTCTCAACGTGCAGCGCCACAGGCGTTCACAAGAAGGTCAAAGTTCATTGGACCCGACAAATATCAGGCCTGCACATTGTGGTCCCTTACAGGCGGTGACATGCCCGAAAGTGAGGCCACCAATAACACACCTTTAGCGGACGCAATGCATCGATCCCATAGAGTGCAAGAGACTGCGGTGGCGCCTCCAAAAAAGACTTCTTGCCAATAGGAGGCTACTTCGACAGATTGGCCTAGGGCCTAGAAGGCACACATATCATTTTTGGACCATAGCGATTGTACCTGTTCCATAGTCGGCTTCACAGCTGTGCATCACAGACTTTAACGTGGAATGCAAGTGCTTGCTTTTGGCGGTGGCACCGGCTGCCTGAAACGACTTGCATAAAAGCCACAGGGACAGAGAGGTGGCCACTCAAGAGGTTCCGGAAGACCCTGTTTGGAGCATGCCCGTAGAACTTTTGAATCAAACTTCTCGCGTTTTTAAAGGCCATATCACATGGTTGTAGCAGGGCCACAGTCCTGATATCAGCTCTATGCCTGCCGTCATGCCGGAATCAGGAGGCCAACATGTAGCTCATGGAGTCGGAACCTCTGGCTGCTCCACCCTGCAGTGCCCGGAGCAGTGGAGGTCTTGGTTTCTTATTCAGGGTGTTTGCCTTGTCCCTAGAACCATGATATACACACACAACCTTGTCAGTTTCTTCAGCTTCCTTTACTTCACCCATGGTACCTTGGCATCCCGCCGTCGTGGTGCTCGTGGTCGTGGTGCTCGTGTTCGTGGCGTTGGTTGGTGCCACGGGCACCACAGGTACCGGACCAGAAGAAGAGAGCCTCTAGGGCCACGGGCAAGGAGAATAAGCACCGGTCAAAGGGAAAAAGAAGCAAAACACTGGCAGGCAGGGGATTTCCTGCAAATTTAATGAATCCATGCCAGTTGGGCTTATTCATTTAATCTTGATACTCTCATGTTTGCTGTTCCAATTTCTACTAAAGCTGTCGCGTACAGTAGCCAGGAAACCACACCAGGTTGGTCAAAACCATCTACTTGTCCAACTGGTCTAGTATTCTAAGCCCGAGACTTGGGTGTACCACAAAATTATGAGTTGAAACCAGGGAGGGGCCTTGGCATGGGGTGGAGGGCATGGGCAGGTTTCAAAAAATAATGCGATTGCGTTTTTGTGTTTTATCTTATGATGTCTAGAGCACCTGAAGTCTTCCACCTTTCCAGGTCACAAGGCCTGAACACTTTGTGGACAAGTCAGTGATGGACTGGGGTCTCTCTCTTCCCTCTTCCCTACGCGTCCCGGTAAGCCCTCCTGAACTCTCGTGGATTTGTTTTTTTTGATGAACAAACCCATTATAAGGATAGCAAACCCATTGCAAGATCATACAAGATCAGGAGGTTTGCACAGGGCACACGAACTGATGGAAATTTCTGTGGTCCTTCATGTTCGGGAATCGCGGAATGGCTCGGAATGGGTGGATTCAAGCGCCAGACGGTGGTGGTTTTCCTGTGAGTTAAAACATCTATGGGTCACCTTTACCCTACCCATGGCTGCTACAACATCTTTCCTGTACCGCATGAGGCCCTTGAGGTGGGGAACAAATAACTCGCGCAGCCGAGAGGCCACAGGGACATGACGAACAGGAAGCAAAGGGACAGGCAAAGCACCGGGATGTACCTCCACATGCGCAAACGAGTCGGGAGGCCCCCGAGTCGGTGCTACCGACAAGTCGTAAAAACAATGAACATCAAACGCTCTGGCTTTCACCAAAAAAGGAATTGTTTGGGCTTTCACCAACAAAAAGGATATTTATATGTGTGAACGTCAGACATGTTGTTTCAGTTCTCTGAAGTTGTTTAGAGACCTCGCGTCTGTCCTTTTATGGGGGCGCTGCAACAGCAACGCTGCAATCACCGGGGCAGAAGCGCGGCGCGCTCCATGCTACAATGTGTCTCAATGGTTTCAGACCCGGCCAAACCCTGCGGACCAAACTTGCTAAGCACCAAATTCGAACCTGGAATGTTCATGGAGGTTCAGTCTGTGAGTTAGAAACCACTAACTGTGGCTTACAATAGTATGCTTTGCAAAATCCAAATACTATACGTAGTACCTATCATGATTTTGGCTAATCTATGAGTCAAAAGAATCAAATGATGCCCTCAAAAGAAGTCAGTCAACCTACCATGTGCTTTACCCCTTGCCCGCCAGTGCAGGAGGGTAAGGGTTTGGTCTTTGCCGTGCCAGAATAAGAAGAAGCTGCTACACAAAGCATACGGCAAAAGATAGCAAGCAGAAAGACCTCATGTTTGAATCACCCATGGACCAAGCAGAACGGTCTTTGACAAGACTGTTGTGAGACTCACAGGAGACCCATTCGTAGACCTCTGATCCGCGAGAAACGAATCGAAAAGGTTCCTCTGGGCAAGCTGAGGGAGAGTAGCCTTCTGGAAGCCACTCACTGAGGATTCTCATGACACACTTGAGGCCGAGGGTTGGTGACAAAAGCCAGCAGGGCGGGGGAGAAGGGGGTGACAGTCGGCCCCATGCGAGCGGAAATACACACGTCCCAGAGACGTCCCAGGGAGGAGTTGAATCGGCGGGGGGGGGCCACCTACATATGAAGTTTTCATGCGATGCGGCACTCTTGAGGATTCCAGCCCCTCACTTGCTAAAGCAAGAACAACTCCAGCTAGCTGGTGCTATCTTTCGTGATCACCAGCAAAGGAATAACAAACAAGTGTTCAAAAGGGTATCCGATTGACTGACGGCCATCTGTCCTTAGTTCCGACACCTTATTGTGTCAAGTCTCTCTGTGACACTGTTGGCGTGTAGCATGATGATCACAAGCCTTGAAAAACATCCGGTGGTGGTTGACAAACCCTGCACTCGTTGTCCAACATGGTCCAACTATCCCACCAATCCCGCACCATGGTTTTGCAAAGTTTGGTATTGACCTACACATACATTCACCGAATTGGGAGGTGAGTGTTCCACTTTGGGGCCTCGATGAAGGCGCCCAAAGGAGGGGATCAGGGTTGCACCACGCAACAGCTCAAATGTGAACATAGACCTCTAGAAAAAAACTTTTTCTCTGCTACAAGACTTACGAAACAGTAGTTGCTTTCAAGCTCTAAACACATCAGCCTCCGTGCAAGTCTTCGGGAGGCTACATACCTTCCAAATCTCCCCTAAATCCCCAAACACTAACCCTAAAGACTGTCTTCACCCTAGACCAACACCAAGGTCTTATCCTTGAACCGTGGAGATCCACCATTGCACCACGTGGCCGGCGCCAAGGCGAGCAGCGCATGCAGCGGAAGCGGAGGTGCCAAAGAAGACCACGGCGGTTCGACGGCGCCTGCGTGTAGAAGACAGTCTTCCCTGTATCTGATCGGGCTTGCCAAGCTTAGAGTTGATAGACTCTCTTGATCTCTGCTTGTTTCATAGTAGTTTTTTGTTTGAAAGAAGGGTTCATGCGAGTTCATGCGAGTCATGTAGACATATGCTGACTACCTGCAGCGGAGGCGACTTGCGGTGGCTCTAATAATCTAATATCATGCTACATCTTTCACTTAAACCAACTGAAGCAAGGGCTATGCCATCAATTCTGCATGCAGGGTTCTGCAGGGTAGCAGTCAACCACAAGACACATCATGGTTCATGACAGGCCGCAATCAGGTTCACGTAAAAGGAGGCCTTGCATCTTTCTCATCCTGGGTTTCGCACTGGGTGTTCAGTTGGGACTTGTTATCAACCCTGTAGTGAGTGTCTGAATGCAGATTACATGACACTTAAACCACAGCGCCTGTCCATCTTCGCTCAGAGGCTGTGCGATGTCGCAGCTTTCCATGGCCAGGGCATGATGCGAAGGATTGACCGTGGCCCGCGATCCGCATCTGACGGTGCCTGGCCCCGACCCGGCCACTAGATTATAACTTCTGCCTTATGCTGTGTCATATGCTGTGTCATTTGGGGAGCAACCTAGCCTATAAAGAAGCTAGCTCGAGAATTAGAAAAAGAAACAAAGACAACTGGAACGTATCAAGTGACTCAAGTGGTCCAACACAGTGTGCTTGTTTGAGGGGCCCAATGCTAGATAGATGTTCTCCATGCATGTTCTTTTGGGAAAAGCCATCTGATCGGCCACTTCAAACAAATAGCGACGAGGTGTACAGCCAGGGGGTCTTGTTTCAACCAAACAGCACGGCCGCTTTGCATATGCACAGACTGACTGGGGAAAGATGAGAACCCAAGATCCATGAATCGTGGCGGCCAGCGATGCGGGCGAAGCCAGGCATCGACTGCTCGGTCTTTCTGTAAACTTCATGGGAACACATGGTCATGTTCCCTCAATCTCAAGTGCCCTGTCTGTTTTTTTTCCATCTCCGGGATGATGGGCTCAATGGGAGAGTGTGGTAACCAGCCTCCCAAGCAAATGGTGGAGACTGTGCGCTGCAAATCCAACAAATTCCACGAAAAACGATCCTTCAAGGGTCCCAGCTGATTCACCAAATCCAGATTCCAGCCACTCCAGCTTGGAAAATCCATCGACTCCAAAAGGATCCCAAGAGAAAATCCAGTTCACTAAAAACGTATGTCTTCACCTTTGAATGCGTGTCTTCACTGACTGGATCCCACTGGACCCAGTGACTGTGTCAGGCTCCACGGTCACACCGGGGCCACCGGACATCATGTAGGAGAGCGCGGCACGGCCCGGCGGCACCGCCATGGCCTCACCAGTGCCTCGGCGCTGTGCCGGCGAGTCCAATGAAACATGAAACTCCGAAGTGTCCATCAAAAAGTAATACATATATATATATATATAATCCCGTTTCTCCACTTGGCACCGTCATCCCTTCAGCCCAAAAAACGCTGCCAGGTACCGCGGCAAGTGACCTCCCGGTCGGAGTCCCAAATGGTGCCCCATATTCCCTGGATCGTTGATTCTTTTGACGTCACGTGAAATATGTCACCCGCACTGGCGAAAAGTGCTGGGTTCCTGCACTCATGCAAGCAGCCACCGCTGCACGAGTCTTGGGAGCCGCCTGGCAACACAAGAGTTGCTGGATTCGATTCCATAAGATTTGGCCGGCTCACGAAAAGGGGGTCATCGGTCATCCAAAACCTCCAAACCCATGTCTTTGGGCACCTAAAGCATTTTGTCGGCAAATCCAAAGAAATCCTCAAACACAACTTCTAGTGGTAGTTTGTTTTCAGAATGCTTCAGCACACGAACAGCCCAAGCTATCTTTGTGTTTGGCTCCGTCGTCCTGAAAAAAAGCGAGGAGATCCTCTGAACAGTGAACGGAGTTACAATTGTCATTTTGACCGACGGACACCTGTCACAACACCTTTGGCTGAGATGTAACCACTTTCAGGAGATGCATTCCAAATGCTTCACGATGCTTCCCTTGTTAGCATGCTTCGCTTCCAATGCCAAGGGTGGTGTTTCATGTTCTTCGGCACGTTGAGGGTCCCTGCCAAGCAATTGCTCAGATTCTGATCTCCCACAACAAACCCCTTCTCGTTAGTCTCTGACCTGCAGAGTCATGCTGCAACCGAAATCCTTTCACAAAAACTGCACCCACTTCCCAACAAAAAGCACCGCCCCAGTCTACCCTGGTGAAGTGTCTACCGCGCCTTGCCAGAAGCCAAAGGGCCTCACACTGGAAGATAGGGTGTTCCGCACCCACAAGACAGCAGCCCCGGATGGAAGGTCACTTTAAACCACATCAACAGGGTGATTTCCAGCTCTTACTCTTGAAGATTCTGAAGACAAAGCCACGGTCCGGTCCCTGGTGGTCCGTCTGGAGGCTTTCACCGGTTACAAAAAAGCACACATCCACCGGTGACGGGTCTTTCAGGGGAGCGAAGGCTTCGTTCTCCACCGTGTGTGACCCAGACGTGTTCTCACCCCTGTGGTGGAGGATCTCTATATTAGATAACCACTGACTATATAAGAGTAACCCATTGAATAACAATAGTAGCCTTAATACATCTTAATACTATATGACGGTAGTCTTGATGTTATGTAACAATGGAATATGTCCACCTGTTGGATTTGAGTGGGGGTTCACCAATCCCCCCAAAAAATAGCTGACTGGGTAGGTGTTAGCACAAATATGTTGTGCTATGGCAGAAGAAATCTTCACACTTCCGCGAAAATGGAACTGCTTGTTGCTGTCCATGCCCACAAAATCATGGAACTGATGTGAGCAAGGGCCCATCCCTCATCATTCGCCTGGCCTCCTCTCGCCCAAAGTTCCAGCTTCAACCACACACCTCGTCGCAAAGCGCTAAGAGTGTGATGATGCAGAAGAAAAGGAGAGGAGAGGACGCATAATCGAACTCAAATACACCAATTGCAGCCAAGGACAAAGGGTGCAAGGATGTTGAGTGATTGGATAAAGCTCTTTTCCTTCTCTTTGGCTGCCCTACAAGTGCAACTGGTAACTGGTGCTGACCCAATGTTCAGGTTAGGAACTTCCAGAGCCTCAGCCAAAGGTGTATTTGGTGAAAAATTAAACGCGGGCAAAGGATATGTGCCTACATACATTCATTCATATATCTGTGTTATCCTTCACACCTTTCTACATACTGTAGATGGATTAAATTGGATTGGAAGTGGTTTCACTTTCTGCAAGTGCCCGAACCCTCCAATACAGTATATCACGGGTTCAGCAATGGTCATTTCTGGAGTCTGGAGGTCGTCTTCCAACGCCCGCGGCACAAAATAACGTCCGACGCCTTCATGAAGGCCTTCACCTTGCGGTTGCCAGGGCGACGACCTGGAGATCTCAAGCGATCCGACCAATTGCGAGCTTGTACAGGCCGCTGGAAACACCGCCCTGGCCACTTGGGATGCGTGAAAAGACGACTTGCCAACTCACAAACGATCCCGGTTTTCGTGTGATCGTCTGTTGTTTATGGCAGGTCTTTTTGAGCACCAAAAGACATAGATCCTCATAGATCTTCTTTGGAACATGAGACTGAACATCGTGAAATACCTTGGGGTCTCCCCAACTCTACTCAGCGGGTCAGATTGAAGGACATGTCTAGTAAAGCAAAAGCAATGGTTAAAGGCCAACGACCCGGTCGACCAGCCTGGGGGTCACCTCTGTGCGACTGCAGATGTTTTTGTTCCTCTCCAGCCTACAGCTGTGGAAACCACCACTCAGCTCTTCTGTCTGGCCAATGGAAGGAGAGTCCAAGCAAACCATGATGCATCAAAAGAATCGAAACAACTCCTTTTACTGAGAAACTCCATGATCTGCTGTATTGGCCCGGCCAAAACTGATGTCTGCGGATACAAAGGAACCGCATGGAAACGTCCAGACCACCGGTGGCGGCTTCCGCACATCGTCGTCCCGTCGCGATCGCGCCTGTCATCCGGTCGTCCCTGTGGACGCAGGGACGTCTATCGAGATCCCGAGATCGCTATGGTTCACATGCGAAAAAGACTTAGCTGAACCTTTCCGGACAGCCGCATATTGCATGGCACCCTGACAGTGTGGAACCTATTTTGCTTTCCGCTGTGCTTCCGCAGCGCGAAGCAGCCGCCCCCGCAGCCAGCAGCCACCCAGCTAGGTTTCCTGGCAAAGGATCTAAAACATGTGCCCAACTCCTTGAACTCCTCTGTGGCGGGGCAAACAGGGGTAAACTTCGGCGCAAGACCAGCCTTCTCAATTTGATTCGTGATCTCTATATATATATATATATTAATACTATTATACGTACATTGGTTGTTGTGGGTCGCCCTGCTTGAGGGAGATGCGTTTGATGAAGAATGTCTGCTGCAGCACCAACTTTGAATAACTGTTCTAGATGGCCAGCTTGGACTTCGGTTTCCTCGCGCGACTGGCGTCCTTGGCAGGAAGCCATGTCAGGTCTTGCCCAAGCCTCAGGCGGTGGGCACGGTGGATTCTTATGTGTCAAGACATCTCCCTCCAACCATCTCCAACCTGTGTTCAAGACAGCATGCGAGGTTGCTTCGGCATCGCATCCCACCCAAAAGTCCGGTCGATGGTCACCTAAATGCCTAAATGATGCCATAGAAATCCCGCACCACTTGGAACCCCTGAATAGCCGCAAATACATGCAAATACCAAGGTTCTCTGCAGCCTCCAACAGAAACCCATCCGTCTTGGGACCACACTGTCATGGTCTGCAAGGCTGACACGGGTTGTTGCCAGCCCGGAAAATCCGAGGAAACGTGGGCCAGTGTGCGACGGTAGCCTAGCTGAAGGGATCCCATCCAACTTAGCCACTGTGTTTGGTCCTAGTTTGGATTCTGATAGACTTGGAACAAAGCCAGGGGAACTCGGAACAAGCATCTTCCTCATGATTGGTGCTTCCGGTTTTAAAAAATCCTTTCCCACGAAGAAATACTCAACACCCTCTTTGTGGGTGTCTACAAGTCCATTTCTTGCCCTTACTCAGCCAGCCTTTGGGTTCTGGGGTTCTGGTAGAGGAGGAACGTCCTTTGTCCCCTCGCCCTGACCATCAGTCAATATGACCCAGTGAAGCATTGAAAATCACCAACGAAAACCCACTGAAGCTGTGCCCAGGCAGCGTGGTATAGATCTCAGCCTGCTTGGCGATGAGTCGCGGGTCTTCATTGAGAGGTCCCTCAAAGGCTTTGTACATGTCCTTAGACTCAGCTACCGCTGGTGAGGAGAAGTCACCAGTGGCAAACGACCTTGAAAGTCTCAACTGCTGTGGCCATTCAGCTGCTTCTACAAGGTGTCTGATTCTTCACCACGTTCATGACTCAAACACCGGGCAATTCAGTCCTTTCAGCTAGTGACTCTAGTGACCCTTCAGCTGCACGCGTAGCTCCCGGTCGACTCAGAGACCCAGATGCCGTGACGCTCCGAAGGCCATGCTTTTCGAGCACCGGGAGCCGCTGCAGCTGCACGATCTCGTCCTTGGAGAGGGGAGAGGACCCCGCAACGCACCGGAGGGTGGGTCGTTGAATAGACCTTTCTGGTTGTTGCTCCGTGTTCAGTCTTCTGTTCACATTTGATGTTGTTTGTTTAAGTTTAATGTATGTTTTTGTGTGCTTGTCGTGTGAATGGTTGTTAGTGTCTTCCTGTAACTTCAACTACATTTACTCATCCCCTAGCAAATACCTAGACCATCCAGGCCGTCAAATGGAAATCTTATAAGTGAGGTAGGGCAGTCCGTTGGTGACTCCTTGGATGGTCCTGGTGGTATCTGGAAAAGTTCTCAAAAGCCTCGTCGTAGTTCGTAGTAGGTGGTCGGTAGTACGTACTAGTAGAGTACGTAGTACGTAGTACGTAGTATGTAGTACGTAGTACGTAGTACGTAGTACGTAGTACGTAGTACGTAGTAGGTAGTAGGTAGTAAGTATAAGTAGTAGGTAGTAGGTAGTAGGTAGTAGGTAGTAGGTAGTAGGTAGT